GTGTAAACTACTTGGGTGATCAGCTGAATAATCACACAGGCAGCAACTGTAACTTCCAGTTTGCTGAACAGGAGCAAAGTTAGAATCAATAATGGAAAACAGGGCCAGAATGGCTAAAAGCTGCACAAACATGGACTCTTCATTGTCTCAATTGACTCTGATCATCTTATTGTGGCTCAAATCAGGGGCTGGTAACAGCAATGTGGCTGAATAGCATAGTCCTTATAAGACACTATAACAGAGAATCTACTGTAGCTGACAATCACTAAACAGTAAAGAAGACATCTACTTGTGCTTAACATCATAAACAGCATTACTCTCAGTGAGGTCCAAGTTAGCTCTGGTTAACACAGGTGTACAGGTGAAGAGATCCCAGGCCCAAGGATATGGGGTCGCCCCACTGAAATTAGAGTACACTGTTAGCAGTTATGGAGGTGCTTCCCACAGTAACTGGGCCTTCAGGAGAAGCTGCATGCTATTAGGGTCTGAACTGGTTGCCCACACTACAGTTATGACAGTCAGGCTAGTCACCTGGATGCAGGTCACCTGCCCATCTACCTCTACCTTTCCAGTCGTGGCCTTTCTGAACTGCTGAGGGAGGGAAGCCGCAAAAATTATCTTTCCTGGGTGTGTCCGGGAACCCAGGGTTTTCATGGGGAAAAAAGAGTTAAAGAGACCTGCACTTGCATCATCTTCTCATCACAGATTTTGATGACCTTCCTTTTTCCCCCTTCTTGACTGTGTCACATTGCATCAATACTATCAGTAAGGCTAACAGGATGTGAATATAGTAATTGACAGATTTGGAGTCATGGCCATAACAATGTGTTACAGGAACCATAGCAAAACCATCAAGAGATCCCTCTGTCTCTCTAATCTCCATTTTGAAGGCAGTTCCTTTAGGGTACCTTCAGACCTATGAGTTGCCATAATGTGGGTTACTGCAACATGGTAATGCATAATACTTTGTGTGGTGTCATCCTAATGCACAAATATAGAAAGTGCAAATGAACATGTGCTATGGTGCAACACAATCCACATACCATATTTTTGAAAGTGATGGATGCAGCCCAAGCAACACTTTTTGATGGTTAGGTAAACATTGGGCTGTGGGCCAAATTCTGAAGGGACTATAATAAGTTCCTTGAAATTGATTGTTTTTCTAATTAACCTAAGATTTTGCAGTATAATAAAAAATCTCTGTGACAGCAAACACTGATCACTTTCTTTTTTATGAAGAAAAAGGAGTCTGTCATTGCATCTGCACTATGGCTAAAAAGTATTTTGGCATGTCCCAGCTGCAAAGGGTGAGACATCTGCTTGTCTATGGCTAGCCAATGCTTAGATTTATAGTCGCTTTTTCACTTCAAGACTAGCAGTTCTTATCTTTTATTGTTTTTTAATCCACAGTCAGCACATATGAACATTTCAGTGCAGGTTATTGATTCCTAGCTTAGAACTATCTGTTCTCTATTCCCTTCTCAGGAATTGCCAGAGAGGTGGAAAAACCTGAAGAAGATTGCATTCATAGTAAAGCATGAAGTGTCTCCTCTGCAGGCAAATGAAGTCTCCGTTATCAGGAGGAAATGTGTCCTCTTTGAGGTGAGATCGCTTCTGTGCTCTGAAGCAAATGATTTTTTCTCTTTTTGTTCCAATAACAAGCTGGAGCCAAGCTTCACTGAACTGAGAAATTGTAAACTCTTGGAAAAAAGGTTGTCTAAAGATAACAATTCAATGTTTCTTGGTAATGCACTCTGGATGGATCTGATAATTTAAAGCCCCACTTCAGCAAAATGCTGGTGAGGCCCGTATGTCTTTTATCTTCAATTATGTCTAATCTCTTTCCAATTCAAACACTGCATAACTCACATCAGATCAAAATATAGATTTTAAATGTTTTCGTTCTGCCCGTGTGCATTAGCTGTGAGATAGGTGCAATTTAAATATACTTACTTTCTTTTTTTTTTTGTCAAGGTAAAAAACACAGATTTATACAATTCATAAAAGGTGTCCATATAAAATATGTATGGTTTGGTATAATGGAGCCCATCAGTGAACCTGTGTTCATTTTATTTTACAGGTTAAACAGCATGAATATAGAAATCGATTTAAAAAACGAGATTATCTTTAAATTTGATGCAGAAGATCCATACAAACATTTGGATAAGGTAACACAATTTTCTTTCATTTTATTTATTTGTGATGACAAACTTCTGATGATTCACACTTAGAATAGAACTCTATCCTAATTTATTGCATGTATTTATCTAAAGATTTGTAAAGTTTTTGAGAGAAATGAAGGGTTAGGACGTCTGTTGAAATTTTTCATGCCATCCTGGGCGCCATTAGAGAGATTTCCCTCTATTTACTGTCCCAGTGACATAATTTCACCAGAAAGTATTTGAGGAAAAATCTGCAGCAGCAGACAAAATTAAAAAAGCTTATTTCTAGCCCAGTAAGGGAAGCTAGAACCCCTGCCTGCTCTTTATAGTTATTTTTTTTATTTGAATAATTATACATTTTCAAGTGAATAAGTTATACAAACTTTCTCTTTAAAAACATTAACACAATTATAGTACAATAATCATATCGCCCATTTCTACTCCCCCTACACCCCACCTCCCCCCCTCGCCCCAACCTCCCTCCCCTCCACTCTGCATTCTCCTAATCCTTTCTGGGATCCACATCCTCCAAAGAGGAGAAAAAGGTGTACTCATATTATTTTATATTCTATTGTTCCCCCATACATTCTATATTTAACTTTAACTTTTTTAATTTTTAAATTCCTCCCATTTATTCCATTTTATATAATATCTCTCCATCTTATCTTCATTTATATGGTAATGTTCCTCCATCTTACATATTTGATCCACCCTATCAACCCAGTCCTCTATTTTCGGCACCTCCTGTCTCCGCCAGAACTTGGGTGTCAAGCCCTTTGCTGCATTCAAGTAATACAATATACCAAAAGTTTTATAATTTTTGACTGAGAGCCCAGTGCTATGAAAAAGGCAAGTCTCTTGATCTAATATATTGTAAATCCCTGTAATTTTCCGAGTCAGGTACACTACTTTCTCCCAGTACTCCTGTATTTTAGGACACTCCTACCATATGTGATACATGGTGCCTCTACCTCCACATCCCCGCCAACACAAAGGTGAATTATCTCCACTCAATCTGTGTGCCACACTTGGTGTAATATACCATCTTGCCAAACATTTGTAGTTCATTTCTACCTCCGCATGTTTATATTTTCATGAATTAATATATACATTTTTTCCTGTTTTTCCTCATCTATTACACCTATGTCCCTTTCCCATTTTTCTATATATGGTGGCCGTATATCTGTGCTTATTTCAGTGAGAATATTATATATTTTAGAAATTCCGTGTTTCCCATCTTCCCGTGTATCCAATAACCGTTCAAAAGGGTTCCAATCCTTTCTAGTGTTTCAATTGATAATAACGCCACTCATCCATTTTCGTGAAAAAAACCTCTCCCTTTTTCTTTTCCAGTTCCTTGAGTGAACCCATTTCCTCCCCCACCATTATATCCCTTAATTGTGCATCTTCTTTCTTAATCCATTTCCCTGTGATACCCTCTTTGCCCAGGGGAAAGAACTCTGTGGATCCTAATAGCATTAACAGTGAATTAAATTCCCATCCCTTCTGTCTGTGCAATACATCCCAAACTCTTAAAACATTTAAAGTGAACCAACTTGTGATATCTGCTAATCCTCGGTGTTGTTGTGGGCACCCATATGATCCTACTTAAATTAGTTTTACTTAAAACATTTTCAATTCAATTTTGCATTAACCCAGTATTACTTTTCCCTTTTGTCTGCCTTTTTCTTTATTATGATTTTCGTTTTTTTATTCTTCCAAATATCAAAAATTCTGATGTCAGTATTGACCAGAGTTATAGTATCTTTTAGTAAAATCTGGTACTCCCAGTCTGCCTTTTTCTTTATTTCTACATAGATTTTCATAACCTATTCTTGTTTTTTTATTCTTCCAAATATATCTTGTTATAATTTTTTTAAATTATTTTAAAATATACTTCTGGAAGTTTAATTGGAATCATTTGAAATTATATAAGATTTTTGGAACTATTACCATTTTTATCAGATTTATATGACCTATCCATGACGGGATTCCCCCTCCTAATTTCCTTAGTTCATCCTTAATTTCATTTAATAATGGAATATAATTTAATTTATGTAAGTTCTTGTGGGAGACAGTTAATTTTATTCTTAAATATTTTAATTCTTTTTCTCTCCAAACGAAGGGGAATTCCTCTTGCATCTTATTTTTCTCTCTTTGGGAGGTTTATGTTTAAGATCTCAGTTTCTGATGGATTGACTTTTAAATTTGATATCTCCCCATACTCTTTCAATGCCTTCATTAACCACTAGTCTACATGGCACTTATACCCCCTTCCTGCCCAGGCTATTTTTCCAGCTTTCAGCGCTGTTGCACTTTGAATGACAATTGAGCGGTCATGAAACACTGTACCCATATGAAATTTTTATCATTTTTTTGTGACAGAGCTTTATTTTGGTGGTATTTAATCACCTCTGGGTTTTTTATTTTTTCTTAAACAAACCAAAAACCACTGAAAATTTTGAAGAAAAAAAGTTTTTTCTTAGTTTTTGTTATAAAATTTTGTAAATAAGTGATTTTTCTCCTTCACTGATGTGCGCTAATGAGGCTGCACTGATGGACACTGATAGGTGGTAGTGATGGGCACTGATGAGTAGGCACTGGTAGGTGACACTGATGGGCATTGACAGGCATCACTGATGGGTACTGAAAGGCAGCACTCATATATGGCACTGATAGGCGGCACTGACTGGCACTGCTAGGTGGCACTGACTGGCACTGTTAGGCGGCACTGTTAGGCAGCACTGATGGGCACTGATAGGCGAAACTGATGCACACAGATAGGCGGCACTGACTGGCACTGATAGGTGGCACTGATTGGCAGCACTGATAGCTGACACTGATGGGTGACACTGAAAGGCAGCTCAGATGGGCACTGGTATGTGGCATTGATGTGGCACTGATATGTGGCACTGATAGGCACTGGCAGGTGGCATGGATGAGCACTGAGAGCTGGCACTGATGGACACTGACAGGTGGCGCTGCTGGGGCTACACAGATCATCAGGGCACACTGATCATCAGTGCTCTGATGATCTGTTTACATGTCCCCTCTGAGGAATGCCGATTAACAGCTCTCCTCTCCTCACGAGCTGTCAGAGTGAAAGCTTGTGGGGAGAGAAATGCTGATAACTGGCATTTCCCTGTTTACATGTGATCAGCTGTGATTGGACACAGCTGATTACATGACCGAGCCGACATCTTTGGCTCTTTCCGTGGATCAGTGATCCGCTCTGTCCGAGGGACACAGCGCACTGCCGATCGCTGCACTGCACACTCCGGGAGCCACGCAAGCATGGTTAGAATGGGAGGACGTCATATGACGTCCTCCCAGAACGAGAGAACCACCTTGCGTCCGTCATATTACTATATGGCAGGTGGGAGGTGGTTAAATTTGGTAATGTTATCCTAGGGTTCCCCACAGAAAAAAACAACTTATCATTCGCATAAGCTGCCACCTTATGCTCTGTGTCTCCTATCTGTATTCCCTTTATATCCGTATTATTCCTTATTGTAGACAATAGAGATTCTAATGACAAAATATATAATAGTGGAGACAGAGGGCATCCCTGTCTTGTTCCATTTAGCATCCCGAAATACTCTGATAAGATCCCCATTGACCATGATTGCTGTAGAGGGTACACTGAATAACTTTCTTATCCATTCTCCCATTCTGACTCCCAACCCCAATACTTCCATCATGTGTCCATCATGTATCCCCAATCTACCCTATCAAATGCCTTTTTGACATCGATCGAGAGCACCACAGGGGTTTTCTCTTTTCTACTTTTATGGATGAGGAACAAAGATCTCAATCCATTGTGTCTGCCCTCTCTCCCTGGAACAAAGCCCACTTGATCTATATGTATCCATTCTGACATTAGTTCTTTCAACTTATTTGCTAGAACCTTTGCGTATAATTTAGTATCTGTGTTCAGTAAAGAAATCGGTCTATAACTTGAACATTGAGTGACATCCTTTCCTTCTTTATGAATGAGAACTACATGTGCTTGTAGGGATTCCCGCCTCGTTTCCATCTCTCCCCCCAATGCATTCATGTATATCTTTAATTTAGATACTAATATTTCTTTATATTTTTTATAATACCTCACCGTATATCCATCTGGCCCTGGGATTTTCCCAACCATGGTGCTTTTTAATGCTACTTGTATTTCTGCCATCGTTATTTCTGATTCTAGGGAATTCAATTGTACCTCACTTAATTTCGATAATCCTGCATCTTTTAAATATGTCCGTCCTTTTTTAAATTTTTCCTATTGCATCATTATTTGTGGTATTATGGGGGGTGATATTATATAAATTACTATAATATTCTTTAAGCAACCTAGCAATGTCTTTGGTTGAATATACTAATTCTCCTTTGGGATCTCTTATTTTTTCTATATAGTTCCTAGATTTTTTTTTTTTCTTATTGTAAATTAATGTTTTGACTGACATTCTGCGGTTTAGCCACAAGATGTCACTGCTTTTCTAACACAGCCTCAGACTGCATAGATATTTGTATAATCTTGTAGAGGTGGGGTTTTGCACACAGAGTTGGAGAGAACAGGAAGGAGAGAGAGAAGCCAGGTTTTGGAGCATTGTGAATAAGGGGCCGTGTGAGCTGAGAATCTGATGAGATTTCTGCCAGGAATGCTGATGAGATTTCTGCCAGGAATGCTGATGAGAGCAGAGGAACTAAACAACATATACGGCGAGACCACATGCTTGTTGGAGAGACATTTGTTCTGTTCAGAGTCACCAGTGGATGCAAAGCAGACCCGGGTCAGTAAGATCGTGCACGCACCTCATTTCAGTGTTGGTGCCTAGAGACTGAGTCCAGGCCTATAGTTAGGGTCTCTGTTTGTGTCAGGCCACAAGTATTGTTACTGATTATTGGAAGGACTCCACAACTTAAAGTGACATTTCACATTGGAGAGCTGATAAAATCCCACAAACTCAAGCCAGACTGGTGTTTTGCTAAGAAGGAATACTCAGGCACGTGCTACAGGACCAGTTATGGGAGGGGGAATACTGTAGAGTTGTGTAAGATTGTAAGCTGTTGTGCTGCACCGCAGGTTAGCCTAAACCATACACCATACACTGATTCCTGCTCTTTTAGGGTAATAACGGGTAAGGTGTGGCAGCTTAGTTGTGCCCGCCAGTAGGTAAATTACTTCACTTTCTACCTTCATCCATCAGAAGGCGCCGTGCTGTGCAGCACAAGGTTCTCAGCCTTTGGGCTGGGTGTATGTAAATTTATTGTATGTTTCCAGCATTTGTGGTTGTGTTTATTTGCCACATCTAAGTAAAATTCTGTTGTGGCAAAAGCTGGTGTTGGGGTTGCTTTCCTCATTCGTGACTTCACTGTATCCTGGGAAGCCCACCCGGTACATGGCTTACACATATCTCCGAACTTTCTGAGACGAAAAAGAAGGAACTTTCTAGCACAAGGTATTTAGATAATGGACACAGGCCAGGTTTTGCAGACCATTGATGAATGTATAGGCCAAAAATAATTGGTTAAAGGGTTAGTTCTGAGTTTAAAGCATACGTTCACCTTTTCGGAAAAAATTAAACTAACGCTGTACATGCTCACCACCTCCCCCCACCCCTCACCCCCACTTTCCCCCAGGCTCCACTGTTCTTGATGAGCGGTCAGTGCCCAAGCAGCTGACGTAGCAGTCTGCAGATTTGAAATTCCAGCTTTCCCCCTTCTTCTTTCTGCAGTGTTTCTGATACAGATCAGTGTGATGCTGACCAATTAGCATCACTCTGCACTGTCCCAGAAGTACTGCTGAAAGACGAGGGAGAAGAGCTGGGATTAAAGCGTCCACAGACCGCTACATTGACTGCGTGGGCACTGACCGCTCATCACCCATGGAGGGCACTGGGGCAGAGATGGCGGGAACAGTGTTAGTTCATATTTTAATTTTTTCTAAAAAGGTGAACTTACGCTTTAAACCCAGAATTGTTTTTTCTAACACTACTTGTCCTTTATACTGGCTTTTCAAAATAGCGCACAAGATAATTAATAGTTAGAATGAAGGTTTTAGTGCAGAATAACATTATTTGTTACATCAGACCAAAAAAAAAAAAAAGGGACACTTGAGAAGGAAAGATCTGCTTTAAAGACCACTAATGAGAATACGTACACATCGGAGAAGACTTTACAGTTTTGTTAGTTTTCTCAGCTTGCATACTCATAGTTTAACTAGATTCCCACCAGCAAGCCAAAGGAAACAAAATACAATGAAATAGAATTTTTCTACATGTGTGAATGCCTACACTAGTAAAATGGAAGTGTACATGGTTCACTGCAGTGCAGCTTTTTCACACATTTCTTCTGAGTGACAGAGAAGAAAAGCTTGTTGTGTACAATACTGGTAAAATGAGATGAATTACTTCTGTTCACCCTCAGACTGTTCATAAAATTCCCAGTTGTTGTGTGACAGTGTTGAAACTGGTAATACTAAGGATCTCAACCACCCGAAGCGTGATTCATCCCCTGAACATACACTACATGCACTTTCCAGGATGTAGTCAAGTGTAACAGCAGATAATTCACACTCCTTGAAAATGTCACATGTAAGATGCAGCCACATGACTGTATTCCTGTCTTTAGACCCATAGAAATATCTCCAGGTTGGAGGATGAGATGAGAAAACTGCAGGAAACGGCAGAACTGTTTGAAGTCAGTGTCCCAGAGTATAAACAGCTTCGCCAGTGTCGCACGGCCATCGCATTACTGAAGTCGGTGTGGGATATGGTTGTGTTTGTACGGGTAAGGCCAAGACAAGTCCACCTACACCAAAAGCAAAGTTCCAACATTAAATAATGTTTTGCTTACAATGTGTTTGTTTCACTGTTGCTTTTATACATGTATGTAAGGGTAGAAATATACAGCACATGTTTTCATATGCATATGTGTGAGCAAAATAACAAAAAACAACATATTCAGTACATCTCTGCAATACATGCATGTAGTTGGGCCACTCTATACCATACAGTACATATGACAGGCACATGCAGCAAAGCATCCCTCCTAACAGACATAGCTTCTGGCATTTGATTGGTTCCCTTGCCAAGCTCACACTTTAACCACCTGCATGGGTGCAGGCCACTCACTTCCGCTCATCCTCCTGGTCACAGTCCTTTAACCCCTTAAAGTGTTACGAAACTCAGGACCCTGCATCCACAATATCTGGTCTCCCACAGTACACAGAACATGGAAGGGCAGTTATTTTAGTAAATATAAACTGCTAAATACCTTTTCTCATCAGCAGTCTTGTGGCTTCTATCTGTGTGCAGCCCAGCACTAGCTAAAGCTTGTAGGAGTTTTCTTTCAGGCTCTAGGAGGATGGAAATCCCCTGACCTCTGTTTGGACAGTGCTGATTGGCCCTGTGCTAATCACATGCATTCTCCCAAGAAAAAAAAAACCTCTAGCAATATACACCAAACTGAGCATGTGTATGCCAATGGTTCAGTTTGGAGATAAGTGGTGGTCGCTTAAAAAAGGGGAGGAACAGAGAAGAAAGGATCAAACAGCCTTTTTACACAATCCAGAGGATAAACCCTTAGGTTCCACAGTGAGTATAAAAAGCATGCTTTACTGCATTTACAGACTGATTTTACTGTTGTATGTAACACTTTAATGCACAGAGTACCTTCTTAGACAGGCCCTTGCCTTATTTGTGATCCAGGTCAGAGCTCCCAAAGTCAAACCAGATACTCAGGGCCTATGTTACACAGGGGACCTGAGTCAACTGACGCATGTAACCTGAGGGGGTCATTTCTTATCATCCGGAGGGAGACTCTGTAATGCTATATATTTTCCATAACTTGGGTTATTGAGTGTTACTTCATGCAAAGTTCTCATACAGTTCCAGGAGGAGTGCTGTGGTGTTACTCACTGTTCAGAGCATGCAGCTTATGTCTCAATAGGCCAGAAGCCTCCACTGGTCGTTCCGTGGCTTCCCCCAAGGCTCAGGGGGCGACATCCTACAGTGAGGGAGAACACTTTCCTCCCTTCACACTACTGACATTCCCAAAAAATGTCCTGGGGAGAGTTCACCTAAACTTTAAAGTGGTTCTAAAGTTAAAACAATGTTTTACCTTAATGCATTCCCTGCATTAAGGTAAAAAAACATTTTAGCATTTGCTGTGGGCCCCCCTCCTGCCCCCAAACACTTAGCAGAGAGCACCATCAATCCAGCGCTGTGCCGGGCTCCCTCTGGTTTCTCCACCATCCCTGCTCTCACAGGCTTTCTTGAGGAAGTGGGAGCCATTAACCCTTGCTGCTCAAGTTAAATCCTGTGAGCAGAGAGAGGGTGGCAGGGCCGTGCTGTGCGTGTGTCTATGAATGCACACAGCCCGGCTCGGGAGCATGCCCGGATGTCTGCCCCCATAGCAAGTGGCTCACTATGGTGGCAGAGGTGGCAAACGCAGAAGAGGAGGAGCGGACAGTGCACGCAGTGGACCCCAGAGGAGGAGGAAGGGATCCACTCTGTGCAATAGCCTTGCATGGTGCAGATACGTATACCATGTTTATTATTTAATTTAAAAACAAAAAATCTTTAACATCACTTTAAATAGGTAACAGGCGGGGCCTACCCAGAAGGAATGACCTAGAACAGGGAATGTCCCAAGAATTAAAGGGGAACACAAGTTCCATCTGCCTAAATGCATATTTCCCAATTTTTGGGGGTTCTAATCTCCTGTTTTGGAGGACAGCACAGCGCTTTTGCTATATTGTTAGCCCAACCAGAATTGCCAACCCTGCCAGGTAGACTACAGATCTCTGCCTATCACCCTCCCCTTTCTGTACCTCTGCACATGCATATACTGATTTCCTTACCTGCTGAATCAAAAGATTGCCACACACTGGAGATGATTTATTTAAGTCAAATAGGCAGTGCACTTTGCAAGGGAATTTTAGTTTTGTGAATGAGGTGAAGCTCATCCAATCATGTGCAAAGGAAAATAGTTTTGTTTTTTCCTTGCAAATGATTGGGTATTCTTTGCAAAGTAAATTTCCATTACATTCACTAAGCGAAGTAAAAATTCACTTGCAAAGTAAACAGTTTTTTTTTTCTTGCTACTGGAACAAGAGAAGGGAGAGGGAGTTTTGGGTTACATTTATGTAATGACTGAACAAACACTGAACAAAGCCAGTTATGCAGTGGTCATCAAAATGTGTCAAAAAGGAAAACCTGTCAGCAGTCACATGAGCCACCAACAGCCAGCCTTACTAAAATGTGTACTGAAGTTCATCAATTTATCATTTTTAAAACAGCTGGATTTTAACATGAATGTTGGCCTATTTGACCTGCGACTTGGTGACAACTGGCAGTTACTTAATTCTCTTCTGTAATCTTTTGTTATCCACTATATTTGTAATTTCACCCCAACAAAGCTTGCTGATAGATGTGGATGTCCGTTGCAATAAAGAGCAATGCTTGGCAACACACTAACATGCATTGTGGTGTGCTGCAAAAAAAGTGTGCATGCTGTGTGTCCATTGGCAGCATGTGTTGGGGTGCCATTCAGAATCAATGGCACCAAATCGCACCAACACATTTAGCAAGTATTGCAAGGATACCTTGAAAGAGATCTGTCACAGCAAAAACATGGAGGCTGCCTTTTCCTCCTAAATAATAGTTTTCTGGCTGTATTGCATCAGTGCCTCTGGCTTCAATACTTAAAGTTAGTAACATGTAGAAATAATGCAAATAAGGTGTTCTAAATTTTCTTTGTCTTTTCTGATTAAATTATGGAATTTGTTTCTGCATCAGCAAAAGTACTGAAGGCAGTTGGTCACAGTAATGGCCATATTCCCTCATGAGAAGATTACCTGTGCTTAGAGATAAAGGGGAGGCTGTCATTGCTGATCTTTTCTAAATATGGTAGATCTTTGACTGTTTTGCTTATTCTGCGATCTAATGGTTCCAGTAATTTTGAAGTCACTGATCAAGAACAGTCAAGCAAAACAGGAGTTCTGCCCTCAATTCTTGCACACCTGTTTGAACTTGAAATCAAAGGATCCTCAGGACAGTCAGACAATATGCATTTTCAGAAGGTGTTTAGCAATGGAGGCCCACATATCCCATTCTATTCCAGGTATCCTTTAGTCTGAGAACTCTCTGACGTATCAAAAGCACCACTAAGGTTTTCCTGTAGAACTTCTTGTAACACATTGTTACCTTGTCATACTATTTATCACTGCAATACATGTGTTTTGTAAACTTCTAACAATTGATTCTGATGCATTAACAATTCAGCATTGGGAGAGAGCCATTTTGGAGTGAATATATTTTCTCTATGCTGTCACCAAAGTTGGTTGTCTTGTACATGACCTACAAAAAGGTCACTGTTGTCACTGCATCAGTTCATATCTGAATTGCACTAATTAATAAGTCACATAGAGGAGATTCTGCTAAATTAGTTGACATCAACATATTCTGGCCAATTAAACACTGACGTTGATAAGTTTAGCTATTTGCTTTTCATCATTAATGTAATTGCAAATTCATTACATTCGTGTCAAATTGTACCGCCAGTGAGAGTGTTCTTTGTTATGGGAAATCAAGGTCCAAATAGATGAAACCATAAAATCAATAGATGCAGCACAAACAGCCATTAAACCTAACAGTGGAGGAAAGCCATAGTAGAAGTGCTTTGCTATCAATTGCATTTTACATATCAGCTTTCATTGTCAGTGCAAATTTAAAACCGAACTCTAGACAAGCAGCTAAATATATGATATACATATGTGAGAGCTGTTTTACCTGCCAAAAGATTTGTACTCATGTCCATTCAGTCCTAAAATTGAAACAGCTCTATTATACAGCACAGCCCTGTCCAGCAGGGGAGGGGACTTTGTCTTTCTCTGCTGCATTTTTACCTCCATTTACAGATCTCTTTCCCAGCCTGTGACTGAGCAGTGAAAGGAGAAGCAGCACATTGATCAGCACATCTATCTGTCATTCCCTCCTGTCAGCATGCTGCCTGCACTGCAGCACACCTGATTGCTTCCTTGTGCTGCTTTTCCTCCTCCCCAGTCTGCACTCTTCTGAACAGGGGACTGAAAGAGGCTGATATCAAGCCAAATTCAAGTGTTGAACTGTTTGCAAATAAAAAAAAATATATACAATATAGTGATTTTTTTATTGACTGCAGAGCTGAATAAATTTGTGCCTTTTAAGTCTGCCTCGAGTTCATGTTTAAGAATGAAAGCTGGAATCAGATTAGTGTGGTATGGGGAACACCCATACCAACCATCACTTTATACAAAATATCATGTAATATTAGGAAAAAAGCATTAGCTGGTAATGTTGAAACTGGATAATTTCTGTCATTATACAGGATAAAATGTCAATCCTTATTTATCTTATTATTTTAATATTTAATACTGATTTTGGTTCTAGCTGTGATCTTGCAGAGAATTATTCTATTCCCAATATAGTATCTGTCAGCGGTGATACCTTATGCTGACTTTCTTCAAAGCCTGCTATACGTAATGGCACATGAGTTCGTTCCGTAGACAGAAGTTAAAATCATACCTAAAAATAATTACTTTAAAAATACAGTCTTGCGCCTATCATGGAAAAGCCTATCAGTGAGGGCTGTAAAACATTGCCTACAGCTGGCTTTAAAGTGGAGATGTTGGTTTGGGTTGTACTATTTAAACAAGAAATTATAACTGTTCAGGTCAATGAACAACTGAAGGTACAGCAAAAGGCAAACCTTTTTTTTTTAGTTTTGGACAGAGTGGAGAGGGATTAGAACACCTCTTAGTTTTTATTGCTGACCCTGCCCCTGTTAGGGAGATTCACCCTCTCTGTTTGCCCTGTTTACCATTATCATTGAACGTAAAAGAAAATCCTAATTTTTGGTTGTCTCCAGAAAAGTAATAGAGGGGAAATCTTCCAATGGTGACCTGGGGTTCCCCAAGGGATTCCCTTAATTTACAGGGATCTCTTCCCACTTCCTGTTTTGGCTATGGGACAGGAAGTGAAGGTAAATCTCCCCAAATGGTCACAGATGACAAACAAAAAAACTGATAGGGGTTATGACTCTCCCTTTCTCTATGCAAAATTAAAAAGTTTTGCCTGTAGTTCTACTACTTTAATTATATATATATATATATATATATATATATATATATATATTGAGAGCTGGGGATAGGCAGCTGGGATATAAGCAGTCTTTCAGGCACAGATACCAAATCCAGATTGATGATAGAATTTTAATTGATAGAATTAAAAACAATAGATAGGGAGGGAACTGTTGCTATGTGTCTTTATAAAAGAAAACATATGCACCAACGTATCTCACGTATCTCTAGAGACTATTCCCACAAAGATCAAAATCC